CCACCACCAACCAAAAAAAAAAAAAAAATTACAGTAAAAAATTGTTTCCCCCAAAGTAGACGAGAATGAATGGGATGTCAGAGATGGTAAAGAAATGGTACTTACTGGCCTGCTTCTTCTGGCTTGATCAATTGGCTTGCTTATACTCCCCAGAACCAACTCACAATGGGCTGGGCCCTTCCACATCAATCATTAATCAAGAAATTGCCCATAGGCCAGTCTGATGGAGGCATTTTTCTCCATGGAAGTTTCCTCTTCCCAGATGACCCCAGCCCTTGTCTAACTGGCAAAAACCAACCAGCCCATGTGCCTTGCAATGAGAGCAACTGAACCATTCTAGCCCCACCAGTGCCACGGATATGCTCAAGCATTTCTATGAAGACCATGATGGCATTTGTTTTGTTATAGATGTTCTTCTAGTTTGCTGTTGGTCTTTGACTTTCTTTAGATGTGAAGGAAATTTTTATTTTTATAAAATGTTAAAAAAAAATAGACCAACTATAGCCCCTGCCTCCAAAGATATTACCATGCATTTGGAAGGCAGGTATCAATATATCAGGGGGAAGTAGAGCTCCCTGTCCATGCTGCCTGGCTTTCAGCTTCCTGCAGAATTGGAAATCTCCCCATGAGGAGATGCATTTCACGGGCTCATCATTCTGTTACCTTTCATACGGAAACACACATGGTCTTTCTTGATGTTTCCCATCGGAAATCATCAGCTTCCATTGGACACTGGCTAGACTCGAATGCTATTTCAGTATGCACTTCCTGCTTGCTCCCCATACAGCCCTGTGATGAGTGAGCATCATCACCTTCACCCACCTGACAGGTGAGGAGATTACCATGGATACAGCATCAGTATCTGAACTCATCAACAATGGAACTGGGATTCACACCTCAGAGGCTGGCTCCAGAATGGAACTCTTAGTCACTCAGTTTAGAGATTATGGCTTCCTGCCTTACTAAGGCTCCCCCAGCCCCTGGTCCCCAGATCATCAGCTTCTACCTTTTGGGTGGTTGAACCCAAATCCAACCTAGAGGTGGGAGGCCGCTGGGACAGGCTGAAATACACCCACTGACGATTGCAGGTTCACTGGGCTCTCTCTTTGCCTCTTCAGGCATCCAGGGATGAGGAAGTGGCCCCGCCAGTATGAATGGTTCTTCATGAAGATGTGGGTAGAGCACGTCTGGCTCCAGAAATGGTATGGAGGTGTATCCGACATCCCAAGGGAGGAATACTTCAAAGCAGCTCCCAGAAAGGCCTGATGGTAACACAAAAGTCTTGGGCTTTGCATTAAAATGAAGACCTTTGAGACGAAGAAGCCAGACAGTCTCTGACTGCTGTCTCTGTTGAAGGGTACCCAGCCGCCCTGTCATCCTGCAGCAGGTGCAGAAAGAATGAACGGGGAACCTTGGGCTAGACTTCAGATTCATTGGAATGGTCCTTGGCAGATCTACCCTTTATGCAGGCACTTCACATAGAAAGATTTTGTTTATGCTATACTCAACCCTGACACGCCCATTTGGAAATCATGGTTGTCAAACTGGAAGTGGTGGTTGCTGTTCTTTTCTTTCAAAAACAAATAATGATGCGTATGCACCGTGTTATTGCCTTGTATCATGAGAACATTATGCTGCTTACTATCCAAAAGCAGTGCTCTGGTTGGAAGCTCATTGCTTTAAAAGAGCCCAATGTGCACCACATTACATTGCTGTGGGTTCAGGGCAAGGTGGAAGTCTTCCTGTCCGAAGGTTACTCACTACGCCACTAAATTACAGATGGATTTTCTAAAATGTACTTGTCACTTAGGGAGCCTTTTCCCCCATTTTAGTATAGCAGGTGGACTAAGAACATGCAGTTTTGTACCCGGCCTGTTCTGGGTGAGCTGACTGTTGATGAGAATAGGGTGGCTTGGGCATAGAGCTTCCCAGATTCCCACTTTCAATATTTCTGGTAGACAGTATCCCTCTGCCATTCATGAAATGTGACATCCAAAATAAGAAACACCTCTTTCTACATAATGCAGTGAAGACAGGAGAGAGAGGGCAATAGAGAAAGCAGAGGCAATGTGCAAGAGAAATAATTCTTCTGAGAGTCTGCTCACCTGTCATGTGGGCCAGACCCTCAACAGAAGTCACCTCAGTTAAGCCCTACCCAGTAAGATGTGTGTCCTCAGTGTCTCTTTCAGACAGGAAGACTGAGGCTCAGAGAGGGCCAGTCAGTATCCCAAGCTCAGATTCCTGAGTTCACTACACATGGTGGATGGGCTGCGACCTCCATGTTTTCCAATTTTAAAAATGAAAGAGTCACTGACATGCACAGGTAGTCATCAAGCCAGGACTGTGATTATAAAGGAGAATGACTAACTGCCTGAAGATCACGTGTTGCTGCTGGGGTGTCAGGAGCGCAGGGGTCACTGGTGAGGGTGTCAGGAATGCAGGGGTCATTTCTGGGGGTGTCAGGAGTGGAAGGGTTACTGCTGGGGTGTCAGGGGTTCAGGGGTCAATGCTGCCAGTGTCAGGAGTACAGGGGTCACTGCTGGGGGTGCCAGGAATTCAGGGTCCACTTCTGGGGTTCCAGGAGTGGAGGGATTACTGCTGGGGGTGCCAGGGGTTCAGGGATCACTGCTGGGGGTGTCAGAAGTGCATGCTTTAAAGTTTTTTAACAAATCATTTATAAGAGTTCCTGGTGTTTGGTAGATACTAGACTGAAACTGTGTAGATATATACCTGAGGCCTGATTGGACCAAATCACGAACCACCAGGGCCAGAAAGGATCTGACAGTATCTATGTTTTCTATCTTTCCATAATGGCTAGAAACTCTTTTTAGTATGTTATAGTTATGTTATATAACATAAAATTACACCACTAATGTAAAAAATACATTTTTTTTTTATTTTTGGCTTTTGGTTTTGCAAGACAGGGTTTCTCTGTGTAGCTTTGGAGCCTGTCCTGGTACTTGCTCTATAGATCAGACTGGCCTCAAACTCACTGAGATTTGACTGTCTCTGCCTCCCGAGTGCTGGGATTAAAGGTATGCACCACCCACCACCTGGTGAAAATATACACATTCTTAAAACAAATAATTTTGTCTAACAAAATAAGACAACAGAGTTGCTGTTGCCAAAATATATTTACATGCTTGTTACTAGAAACCCAGTAAGCTAACTCTTTTTATTATTTGTCTTAAGCCATTTCACAAGAGTTCCCAAACAATCATTATTTCTAATACATAGTCATAGGGTAGCTTTGCTAAAGGTGTTTTCTATTTCTAGAGCTTAAAATTATTGCTACTCCCAACTTAGAAGAAGAGGGGGTGGGTCTGGAGGAACAAAAACATATTAAAGGTACTCTGTGGTTCATCTCAGATAGCAATCCTCAAAGTGTCATTGTTTCCCAGACTGTCTTGCTGCTATCTTTTTTGTTAGCCTGTCTGATCAGGTTCCTTTTATGGAAGGTGCTTCAAAAGCTTTGAAGCACAGATTCCACTTAGAAACACCAAAGAGTGTTATCAGCTACTTATCAAAATGACAAGAAATGAGATCTGAGTTGGCCGGACAGCAGGAATAATGTCGAAAGCTCATGGACTTGAGACAGATGGGCCCTCTTCAAGCAAATGTGTCTTATCAAATCTCCAGGAATTTACATTGAGTTAAAATTTGTAAGACTGAATTAGAAGCTTTGGAAATGGCAGTCAGGCAAGAAAAGTTGAATGCATACAATTGGAAAGACATTATTATCTACACAGAAAATACTAAATAATCTACTTTTAAGAAGTCAACAAGCTTGGATTGGAGAGGTGAGTCAGAGGGTAAGAGCACTGGTTGCTCTTCCTGAAGTCCTGAGTTCAATTCCCAGCAACTACATGGTGGCTCACAACCATCTATGATGGGTTCTGGTGCCCCCTTCTGTCATGCAGGCAGATCACTGTATACATAACAAATAAATAAAATCTTTTTTTAAAGAAAGGAAAATGTTAACAAACCTAAAGAGCACAGGAAGGTCTCAGGATACAAGACCAGCACACAAAATTTGATCAAATTTCCATGTACTAAAAACAGACCAAATTAAAAGTAGGATAGCATATGCAGTCACTCCAAAGAAGGTTAAATATTTGGGGTATAAAGTTAAACTATGTGTAGAGTCTATATGATGAAAACAATTTTAATGCTAACAAAAGTAACCAAAGACTTAAACAAGTAAGATGTGCCATGTTCATGGATTGGAAGACACAAAATACAGTTGAGGTCAATTCTTTTAAACCCGGCTCTGGACTTAATGAACTTTCTCCAAAAACCTCAGCAAGATTTTAGTAAACATATGTAAGCTTACTATGAAAGTTGTATTCTAGAATAGGACTATAGCTCAGTGGCATAGCTTTGCCTAGAATGACAAAGCCCTGTGTGTAATCCCAAGCACCACATACACAAAGAAATATATTCCAAGGTTTGCAGTCTTTGAAAAAGCTTTAAAAATTCTTTTTAAAGGGGGGTAAGTAGGAGAAATTATTTGAATCAATGGGAAGTCACAGTGTATACCAATGGTATTAAAATCAGCTTGTTACTAATAGAATCATGGACACGTGGTTCCATGAGACAGAACAGAGAATCTAGAAATGAATCCAGTGTGCTGCACTGAATTTGTTTTTACAAAGGTACAGAGGTTTAACATAAGAGGACAGCCTTTAACAAACGTGATAGACACCCATAGTGAACTCCCTCTCTTCTCTCCCTCTCCCCCTCTCTCCCTCTGTCTCTCTGTCTCTGTCCCTGTCTCTCTAGATCTCTCTCCTGGAACAACTAGACATCATTTAATCTGGTGGCTGGTAACACAAATAGTATGTCTACACTAAGAACACTACTCAGCCATATAAAGGAGCTAATTATTGACACAAGCAGCAGCTTGAGAAATCTATAGGAAATTGTTCTAAGTGATTAAACAAGCCATGGGAGTGTTCACATTATATAATTCCATTCATGTAACATTCTGAATGTAAAATTTAAGAATGAATACTAGGTCGGGAAGGGGGCACAGAATGAGACGGGTGAACAAAACTTGAATGCAACTATAAGTGAATAACGACCGATTCTTATGGTGATAAAGTATCCATATCTTGAATGAAATCAATATTAAACTGGGGAAAGTGGGTAAAAAGAACATGGGACCTCTTTGTATTATTTCTTAAAAGTGCATCTGAATCTTTAGTTATCTACCACTATCTCAGCATCTACAATTGCCTCAGAGGAAGTATTTAATGGAAAGACTCCCTTAAGTTTTTTTAAATGCCATCTCACTTGTGAGTCCCTAACAAAATGAGGAACAAAATGAAGAGCTACATATGAAAATCTAGCGGAAAGGAGACATTTCTTTTGTTGATCACTAACATACACATTTGTGGAAACCATGTAACCCTTCTTTTAAAAGTGTTTTCTTTAGTGTATTTAATTTAGTGCTGAACACAAGTTACCAAGAACCTGATGGGTCTCAAGTACAGCCCAACGGGGCACTTGTTCAGCATGAAGCATGACTCCAGTGCCATGAAAAGGAAAACTGGGTGGATGTGCCTTGAAAATTTTCTGTGGGACACTTAGGTGAAATGGTGAAATGATTGTCTTCAAGTTTCTGATGTCCACATGTTGAGTAAGTGATAGGTATATATAAGTAATTGAGTTTGTAAATAGGCTTTCTCACTATATTGTCAGTAAACGGTAGCTTTCTGCTGATGAGACGTTGAAAGTAAACACAGACCCCTGTGTATTTGTCATGAAGCTAGTCCATTGTGAAATTCTGCTGCTGGTGGTGTCTACATACCCTGATGTATATTGACTCTTGGTGACTATATTGTTTTCGGATTGAAACATGTCCCTGAAATTGTCCCCCAAAGTCTTGTATTTCATGTTTCATAACATAGCTGTCACCAGTGAAATGTTTATTGATGATAAACTTCTCTAGAATAACCGACTGATTTGTTTTGATTGCGATAGCAAGTTGCTTATGGGAAACTTCATTGCGACTGTTGTGGTTTGTCTGCCCTGCGTAAGGCATGTGGAGCACAAAGTCTGTCTTCCACCAGGTATCTCGGCTTTGTCAAAGACTACTTCATTCCCAATATGGCTTCTGTGCTTGACTGTGCTATCCTAACTATGTCGGGATATTTATCCATATAGTCTTTTATATGTACTGTTATATACTAACACTATTAGATTCCTAAGAAAACAGAGGTTACTACAATGCATCTGCTGAAAACTGTCCAATAGAAAGAAAA